GCCGCCCGGGGCCCGAGGACCCGGGGCAGCAGCCAGAAGTCAGGAACCCGGGGACTGGCAGTGGGACCATCTGGACACGTACCTCAGAAAGAAAAGAAAAAATAAAATCCAGCAGCAGGATAAATGGAGGGAAACGGCGGGCTAAAGAAACACCAGGGAAAGATGTAGGAGCATTAAAGGTGATCAAACTGAAACACGGCACCGCCCGGGGCCCGAGGACCCGGGGCAGCAGCCAGAAGTCAGGAACCCGGGGACTGGCAGTGGGACCATCTGGACACGTACCTCAGAAAGAAAAGAAAAAATAAAATCCAGCAGCAGGATAAATGGAGGGAAACGGCGGGCTAAAGAAACACCAGGGAAAGATGTAGGAGCATTAAAGGTGATCAAACTGAAACACGGCAAATGCCACGGCAGACCCTGGGGCAAAACGAGCATCTGCTGCTCTTCACAGCAGAATTAAACTCGTGTGAAAAGTACCGAGTAAACGCAGGCAAGGAAGTGAAAGGAAAACTGCCTTCAGAGGTACAAGGCAGTAGATAGGTGTCGGGGACTCTGATGCTATTTCCTGTGAGTCTATAATTATTTCAAAATAAAAAGGTCTTGCAAGGGGACCGAACACGGATGAGTGGTGACCAGGGGAAAGGGCTGACCAAAAAGAAGCAAATTGGGGGGGCGGGGCGGGGGCCTGCTCTACATCTTTATTGTGTGAGCGACTACACCACTGTTCTGTTCACCACACCCATAAGACGGTAGATTTTACTGTAGGTAAAATAGTTTTAAACTCAAAATGATACTGCTAGTAAAGATGAATTTCCTAACATCTTGCAGCAACTATGGATATAAATTAGAGATTTGGTGATCAATAGGGAAAACAAAAATTGTGTTTAGGACCATAAACTTGTGTCGCATTCCTTAGCTTAGAACTTGTCTTATTTGATGATTCTAATGCAGAGAACATTTTATTGCCAGAGCTTATATCTTTATGTGTTAAAAAGAAACAACAGACCCAAAATGGAGTCACTTTTGCTAAGCCCCACCAAGACTTGGTACCTAACTAACTGCGGTTTTCAGTCAGTCTGGAATTTCCCTGGTCGGCACCAGTGAGGCAATCGGCCTGATAAAACTCCCTGCCTTCCGCTATGGGAAGGTAACCTGCTGAAGTGACCCACTCTTTCAGCTTTCTTGTCCGACCCTCTTTCTGGCTGTAAAAACCTTTCATTGTGTACAACTCAGAGAGCCCCTCTAGGGTGCTAGATGGGACGCTGCCCAATCCATCACCCACTTAATAAAGCCAATCACATCTCCAAATTTACTCAGTTGAGTTTTGTTTATTAACATATGGCATTTGACATTTTGGGAAATTACTCTGTTTCATTTGATTTTTAGTAGTACACGTATGTACTTACAATACATAAAGCCAGGGACTTTGGTACTCAGGGATTCGAACATTTGTCTGAAAAAAAGCAATGGAGGACTGTCAATTTTTAATGACATCCTATAATTCTCTAATTATCTGTGTTTCCTAAGAAAAAAAGTTTTAGAAATTTTCTGAGCGTTACTGAAAATTAGTCGTAAAAGTCAGGAGCCAAGGATAAGTTAATATAGAGTCTCAACAGCATGGTAGTATAGCTAATAATGAATAGCAGTGGGATTGTGTATTTTGAGGTGTTTTGAGGATCCTATTCTTGATGGTCCATTTTGTACTATGAAGAGAATAGCATGTTTCAGGAAATACTCTATTTGAACTGTTTGAATAAAGATTGACACATTTTAGTAAATGTTACTATTTACTCTGGCTTTGTTTTCCAATATTCTTGGTTAGACACTTTTTTTTTTTTTTTGAGCATCTGAGGGCATTTGGAAACTATAACTTGTGTTTTAAATTTGTCCAGGGAATTCAGTGTTTCAAAAGGAACACTCTGCCAGTGATGGGATCTGATATTACTCGGGATGCTTGTTTTTTTCCTCTGGACTGTGTTGGGAGGACCCTATATTCCTTTATTTTGGGAGGTATAGAAAAACCTATACATGTCTATAATATATCCACCCAGGTTACTAGATTCTAGCCTTGCCCATTGCCTTTGGACTGTTTGCTATTCTTTGTGAGTTGTAATAATAGATATGTAACTTCTGTCTGGTAGTGATTATAATGGACTTCCCCATCCAACCCACGGAAAAATCACTTCTGTCCCATTTTGCCTGGTTTCCTCATATTATGTGAATAAAAATGAATTATTTAACATGGGTTTATATTTGCCCAAAATCATGATTTTATTTTTAAAATTATGTTTTAATAGAGTCCTGGCAGTTAGTACATAGAAATAAATTCTCACTGTCAACTTTCAGTCCAAAGTCTCTCTGTAGTGTCCATTACTTCTGAAAAGGAAGGCACTCAGGGATCTTTGGAGGCATAAGAGGACAGTTGCCAGGCAAACTGAAATCTTGAACAAGATGGTGTGAGGCCCAAGAAGAAGTAAATAAGAGAATAGATCAATAGCAAACTGTCTGTGATACTAGCATGTGCAATACCTTTGGCCCGTGCGGGGGTAAAAAAGAGTCGAACAGGATAGTTGCAGCACCCTATATCCAAAATCTATTGATTTGGAAAGCAATGGGTGGAGAACAGAGAAGTAACTACAGCATCTCATAAGCTCTTCAATATTTTTTGGTTCAGATACTCTGTACTCTAGGCCCCAAGTTAGATTTCTTAGAACTATGCAGCAAGATTGTCTTCTCCTGAAAATCTGTCCTCTCACCAGCCACAGAAGAATAAACTAGGAGGGTAATAAGACAAGAACACCGTACATACCTGGGGTCTCCCATGAATATCCTTGCTCAAAAATGACCTGTTTTCTTTGATGATGTATGGCTATCTTTACTGATCAGGAATTAATTCTGATTGCAGGATTCACTGTATGTTGATATTTTCGTGTTGTAATGATGTTTTTCATTAAGACAAGTTTAGTCTGCAGCTCCGGAAACCTTTGTGCATATTTAATTCAGAAAACTGCCCTAAATTCAGACTAAATCAGAATTTGTTCCTAAGATAATGGCTCCCTTTAGGCTGTCTTAGCATATGTATTTCCATAAAATAAAATTAGTAGTAATCCCAGCTTTGCAGAGCTGTGGAGAACAAAAAGATATACATGTTCAAATTTACTGGATTTATATTATTCCATAGAGACAAATATTAACATGATCATATAATCTGTGTTTTCTAACCTGGAAAGATGACCATGCACAAAACAGCGTGGTAAAGTATGACCTCATTTATGGTCCTATAGAAAAATGTTAAAGGTTATAACCAAAATTTAATAATGGCTATCCTTACATAAGGGGATTATGAATGACTTTTCTTTTTCATACTTCTTTTTGTATTTAATATTTAAGGAAGAATAATGTATTATCAATGTGTTGCCTTTTATAATAAAAATAAAGGATGCTATCTTCAATTTAAAAAATTAACATTGATATCTGTGATTTTACATGACAGCAAATTATTTATGATCTTAACATCCCTGAATATGTATTTGACACAAAGAAAGGAATGTTATCTGGATACAAATTATATCCTGTTGTTCTATAAATGGAATGACAATGGAGGTAAAGAGGTCAACTTCAAAGGGAGAAAAGGCAAAATGTGATGCCCACAAAAGATGATTATGGGACATTCCAAATATGCAATTTCCTACCTTCTGCAACCCAGCCTTGGCCATGGAGAATGGCCCTGCATGGTTCAGTAGTCCTCAAATTAAAGGGCTGATAGTGTAAATACATAGGCATAGATTGTAGAAGGATGTAAAGAGACATCCTTATTCTATATATACCCAAGGCATATTATGGAACATAAATAATGACAGGAAAAAGGAGGACACCATGAATGCTGTCCAGTCCCATAATAATTGCAATGCTGTTAAAATGCTAAATGTGGAATGAAACAGGCCACAGTTGAGTAGTACATTTTTTATGTAATGTTGGACTGCTTTGTATTATGATGCTTTTAATTATTTATGCTCTTTGGTGTGTGTGATAAAGAGGAGGTAAAGCTTACTGCCATATCGACATGTCTCTGATATTGGCTCTTAATACACACACCACACCTTACATGTATTAGTCAGATGTTCAGTCCAGTCAATGGGGAAATGCTGGGATTGTCCTTTGCTGATTTGTCATGATGGCATAATGAGGATGGCTGTAGGGTGATGTAACAGCCAATGGGTAAAGTACAGCTCTTGAAAGGACCAGTAAAGAATTGCAATGCCTTCTTAGATGCTTATGAGTTTCACTAACTCCAATAAAGCTGTCCAGCCAGATGTTAATGGCTTGTGTGATGCTTGGCCTAGAGATTCCACCAATCTGAAGCAGCCTAAGGCTCTAGCCAGGCAGACAAGACAGGGTGTGGATAGCTGTATGGTGCTAGAGGACATCTGCCTGGAATAAAAACATCAATCCAGATGACATGAAAACACTCCACATGTGAGCTGCACCATTGAAACCTCACTATGTGCTTTCAATAAATGCCTTTGCTAAGTAGAATGTAAGTTAGCTCATTTCTTCAGCTTTCAGGAACCTAACTAAAACAGTCTGGATTGGCATATCCAAAAGACAATATCCATTCAGCAGTTTAGTGTATAAGTCCAGAATCCACGGAAGAGGTCAGGCTGAAAATATATACAGTGGAATTATTTCCTACACTTACTTATATTATATTCACTCTACTATATATGCTTGGCAGAAAAACAAAAACATATTTTTCTTATAACATGGCCCTTAAATGCAAGCCAACAACTTCATCTGGTATTCAACTCAAGAAACAGCCTTCTGTTCCAATAGCAGAGGAAAGCTGGTTGTGTAGGATTTCTTAATGATAATTATATATATACTAAAGGCCTGGTGCACAAAATTTGTGCACTCTGGGGTAGGGGGCCCCTCAGCCCAGCCTGTGCCCTCTTGCAGTCTGGGACCCCTCGGGGGTGACCACTTGCTGGCTTAGGCCTGCTCCCCAGGGGATTGGGCCTAAGATGGCAATCAGACATCCCTCTGGCAGCCCGGCAGCCCTTAGGGCATGTCCACTTGTCAGCGAGGAGTAGCCCTAAGCTGCAGACATCCTTACCACGGCTGAGGAGGCAGGAGAGGCTCCCACCACCACTGCTGTACTGACAGCCCTCAGCCTGGAT